CTGCTGAAGCCCATATGTGGACATGAAGAGCCCCGCCCCCCTGCTGAAGTCCATATGTGGACATGAAGAGCCCCGCCCACCTGCTGAAGTCCATATGTGGACATGAAGAGCCCCGCCCCCCTGCTGAAGTCCATATGTGGACATGAAGAGCCCCGCCCACCTGCTGAAGTCCATATGCGTATTGTTCTGCCCTGCCCACTTCTCCTGCAGTCCCTCAGCATGCTTACAGAGCTTGCTTGACTTGCGGTCTTCTTCGTGGGCACAACACTGAGATCCACACTGAAGGGGAAGGGGAGCACCGGGCACGTGATCAAAGATGGCGCCGCGCAGGCCACTGCCAGCCGACTTGCTTCCTGAGCCCTGAGACGTCGTGACCAGATGGCACTGCGCTAGCCAGGAGCAGCCGTACAACAGCCACTCTTATTAACGGGTCAGAATGCTCATCGGAGCACAAAACTTCATATATAATGGAAGCACTTCCTGCTATTTACAAGAACCTAAAATTTCATGATAAAGAAAAACACACACACTTGGCACTCAGTGGTCAGGGCTGAAATCTAATCATACTTCGTGTATTGTAGCAGCCCTTCCCAGGACAACTTGACAGGGGTGGTCAAGCAAGATTAGTCAATGTGTCTTCGCGTAGGACTGCGTGCTTTGAACTACAGCAGATGGTCCGGCGGAAAAATACTGCGGAACAATATCGGCATATTATCTCTGGCCTAACATCACAATGTTCAGGGGGAAATGCCCTGTAATTTAGTCATAAATATTGACTTTCGGGTGGGTGGTCACTTTAAAAAAAGAAGGCAAGTAAACACCACTCATCACAGCGACATACAGATGTCACCTGAGAACACGCTAATTTATAAACAGCGAGTGCGGAAATACGCACCCTTAGGCGGACCATGTCAGCCAAATCAAAATAAACGTTCATTTAAATGTTCGCTGCCCGGTGTCGGTACTCCCTCAGCGTTATGTTTTTTAGCTTATAACTGGCCCTCCATTTGCTCCAGCTCTCCGGTGAGTGGAAATGGGACGGCCGCCTTTGCCTGTCTGCGCTTCGGGGTAATCAACGTGTTAGCAAACTGCTTTTCATTAGTGCTTGAGCTGGCCTGCTCTGTCTCAAAGGAGACATTGAGCTGAATTAAACGGCTCCGCCTGTCAAGCGATTAAAGCAGCGAGAGGCGCACAAACTACCGGCTATGATCCCGGCCACCATGCAAGTATGCATTTTGCGACCTGGGGCCATCAGTATGGCTTGCGCATCTTAATGCTTCAAGAAAACAATAGGTTACAGAACAACTGTCCACTTAGGATTTGAATGAGAAAAGTTCACGGATGCATTTGTCTTAAACAGACGGGGTCTGCATCCCGTTATGTTCACCGCCATTAGAGATTTTCTACCTGACTGACGCTCGAGAACAAGACACTAACTAGTAAAACTAGTAAACTAGTTAAATCACCATATTTATGGTAAGTGGCCCCCCTCAAATAATATAATAAGAACATCAGTAGGCCTATATCAAACTACTTCCAGGTATCTGGAAATCCCCCCCCGGTAAAATGTCACCTTGCCCCCGCCAGATTTTATGTATTCAAGGGCCCCTGTCAAGAGTTGGGCCCTCTGAATCTGTCAGGGTATCCATGCTCCTCCGACGCCACTGACAATTAGTATATAAAAATTTGAAATTGTGGTTTGAATTGATGTAATAGATATAATGACTTTGTAAGGCCATTAAAACATGTAATTTTATGTTAAAGTAGGCCTACATTGAAAAAAAATCTTAAAACAATTACAATCAAAAGAAAACATGTATTTAATAAATTAAGCAATGCCGAACAACGTGTCATAAATGTATTTATAATATATGACTTACATTAAAAAAAAGTAAAGATAGGAAGTTGTAATCGGTAGGCTAGTTATGAAAAAAATTGTAAAATAGCAGGTTTTACAGGAAATGCTGTTTCGTGGTCTCGGCTTTGGTCGACTGTAGCCTCTTAATTTAATTGCAGTTTGGTAGCGGGGTTAGATGCTGTATATGCGTTACAGGCGTAACTCCACAATACCGTAAATGAACATGTATAAATAAAGTAACGTATTTATAGTATACCGAGTGGCTCCTTTAATATCATAAACATAACATGCTAAAATGTCTTGAAAGTGAAGGTGATAGCGGCCAAATATAGCTATTTGTTTAATTATTTATTGCCGCTTGCTCAAATGTCACCGGAGCGAAGGGGTGACACAGACAGCATATTTTGACCCGGTCCGTGGACCATGCTGGACACGAAAGCGGGCCGACTTCACAACATGAGCCGTAACACCTACAACATCGCGTCTAACTTGCATGTTTTTTTTCCAACCAAATCCACCGTGCAAGGAGCACATTAAAAACGAGCAATAACTGCACACCCCAGCCCACTCACACATTTATATAGGCTGCATATCACTCGCCATATCCCGTAGCCCACACATATTATGTTAGAGCGCTGGCGTAAAATTAGCATCTTAAACTTCAGGAACCACACGTGCAAATGATTACACTCATTGTCTGGATTAAAAATAATGGCATCTGGCTTGTTGTCTATCTATGACCGCGATAAATATGGTGGCGGCGATCTGTTCGATAACTGAGCAGAAAACAAGGCAAAAAACAACGCACACAAACCGGTGGGGGTGTGTGGTTGGGGGGAAGAGAATAAAATACACCCCTAACGTCAGGGAGCAGGCATGCTTCACCACAGAGACGCGTATTATAGACACCAAACAGCCGCTTCGATTTTTTGACAGCTCAAAATGTCACTGCCCCCCCCTCCCAGCACCACCACCACCACCACCAAGCTGTAGCGACTCAACTACTGCAACTGTATCAGCACACGAGTTGGGGGGGGGCGGCATAACTGCTACCAACTACGCAATTTATTTAAAAAAGCAGTCGAGATCAGATTACATAATTACATATGAATTTTAATGCATGTGCGCCCGTGGAGAAAACTGCATTTTCGGGGAGCAGCGGAGCCCCAGCAAGCGAAACGCCGAAAACGGAGCGAGCGCAACGCGCTGCCACCCCGAAGCGCCACCTCCACCTAAGCGAAGCCGACCGTAAAAATAACGGCGGTGCTGGGCGAGACCGCGACCGGAATCAGTGGGTTTGAACGCAGGGGTCAGATCTTACTTTCCGAGCTCCTCGTACAGCTGATACTCGTCCGTAAATCGCGTACAGGTCGTGGTTGCCATGTCTCCGTCTTTTCCGCGGCGATCGTCTTCTGCCGAGCTGCACTACAATCAATATATATATATATATATATATTTTATATATAAAAAGTTGAACTTTTTCTTATTTTAACGGCGGAGATCCGGAGGACGAGGCGCCCGCGTTTCAGCCGGTCGCGCTGCTGGGAAGCGGATATGTGCGGGAGGCTGCGCTGCCTGCCTCTTTCCCCTCCTTGTTCTGGTGTGTGTGCGCCTTTCAGCTTGCAGTGCGCTCGGCTGCCACTGCACAGACGAAGCCTCCCCTCCTGGCACAACCAAACGGGTCATCATTGCCACCAATCGGGGGCTCATTGCAACTTCGTGCGTGGGCACCGACTTCGGCGAGCGACATCACCGTTGTGCGCGTACATTAAAAAAACAACCGATTGAACGAGGCATATGTAACGTGTTCTTACGTTTCACGCCTGGTGGCTTCTTTATAAATCCGTTTTTACTTTGTTGAAACGGCCTTCTGAAATATTAAAGACAGTAATTCATATTCAGTCGGCGATGCCCAAGGACGCGATGATGGAAGGGCAAAATGAACACAGTACAATGTTCACGGTTGACGGCATTTTACTGAGATTAAATATCACGCATCTGTTGTGGCACACAAGTGTACTTTCGATAAATGGTAACCAAACCAGACTGAACAACAAGCAGCAGCAGCTACGAAGTGCACTCCTCTATTGGAGCAGATTTGAAATGTTTTCAGGTTTTTTGTCCCGCTCACATTGCCCGGTTTGCTATTTCCCAAATTACCTCCAGAATTAATACAACTGTTTGTCCATAGTGTTTCATAGTGGATGTTCCAGCGTGGTTCCTACGTCTGTTTTAACTGGGACTAGTAGAAAATTCTGGTTCTGGGGGCCCGTAGTGCTGCTCATTAGACATAATCACTAGTTTGGACCAATTAGCTCCCTAATTTAGCATTCTCTGTGCGGCTCGGCCTTACTCATGTCTCTTTTTGAAGCTGGATCATCTACACTTATTTCCAGCTCCTGATTTCTGTACCAGCAGAGCATGTCAGATTTCTTGCACCCTGAGGATGGAGTAAAGCGGATACATTTCGTTCCTCGCTCTTTAATAGACGTGTGCGCAGCGCCACCTAATGATAACTTTCGTCCCTCAGTCGTCCCTCGCCATTTCGCGGCTTCACTCTATCGCGGTTTTTTCAAAAACATTTATTCATTAAAAAGTTGATAGACAGTGAAAATGATACAGCGCGCGCTCGGTTGTCTGAGTCAATTATACACCTCGGTATTACAATTTAAATTACTGTACGTATGGACTGTAGGCCTATGTATTCGAGCACCCCCGCAAATCCTTCAACGCCAGGTGCAGCCGAATAATAAAGAAATAAAGAATCCTACTTCGCGGAAATTCATTTAACGCGGTAGAGTCTGGAACGGATTAACCGCGATAAACGAGGGACGACTGTATATTAGAAAAACAGGCGCCAGCAAACACACCTTAGAAATCAATAACTGTAAATTCCCGAGTTCTACACGGTTTGCAACAGCTTGCAGTACGTAAATAACCCTGCAGCACATCATAAAATCTGCAATGATACAGAGAGGATGAGGTCCCCTGGTAAATAAAATGACATGGATTTCATAATCATCATATATACTAAAAATGCAAGAAACGTATCACACTTTTTATTTATTTATTTATAGTTACACAAAATAATCAAAGGAGTTAATAAGATATGGGAACCAAGTTTTGAAGTGCTTAAACTGAAGATGAATGATGGCAGGACAGAAGAAAGACAACCGATTAATTCTGAACACACTGTTGTGGGGAAGAACGCCCTGAGGAGAATCCCATCAAGTCAACAAATATACAAATTAACAGCAGATATACAGCACCTGACATTTTATTTACCCCATGAAAGTTTTTCTAGAAAATTTCAGGAACGAAGTGGTGCACAAGCAGACTTCTGACCAATAGAGAACTCTGACCGCACTGCCAAAGAAAGCAACGAACCACTAAGAGATGAATGCTGAACAATTCAGTCCATTTCTGCTTTTGGAAGCTTTGGCAGGAGACTGTGGTTTGAACGCAGGCCTCTCATACTTAGGGCACATGGGCGGAAACCACAGGCCATGTGTGTAAGTGTGTGCGTCCAAGCGTCCTCTCCCTGTGAGGCTGAAGGCAGTTTGTCTGTGGCACCCTCTCCTGGTGAAACTCAGAACTGCACAGCACTGGGTGGGATGTCAAACATGGTCGGGTCAAACGTCTGCCCTTTGAAGGGGGATCCCTCTGCATCCCAGCCCTTCTTCAGCATGTCATGCACCTTCTGCAACACAAACAGGCCCATATAAGCATCATGATATAAATACACATATTTCCACCATAATCACCCTGTACTGACAAGGTTTACACCTTTTTCCGCAGACACCTTCACATAACTAGGCTCATGGGTAAACCGCCCGATTTCCCATCTTCTACGACAGTATTCCCCAGTTCAGTCCTCTGTGACCCACAGCCGCCCCATATTTTTGCTCCCAGTGGGAGCAAAAACGTGGACTGTTTGTGGATCCCCCCAGGACCAGTTTGGGAACCACTGTTCTAGGAGGGTTCAAGCACAGATACGCACCATCTCATGGCTCTGCGGCTTGCCCTGTAGCTTCTGGTGGTAGTCGAAGGTGAGGCGATCCAGCACGGCGTGCTCCTCCTCGTCCACCGTGGCCATGGAGCGCTCCCGGTTGATCTGGTTGACGTCGATCTCCGCCTCGCCCTTCAGCACGGCACTCCACCACACCTCACCGCTCTTGCTGAGGGACAGCTGAAGGGAGCGGAAATCAGGAGGGGGAAATACCTCATCAGCCAGCCCCCCACCTCCAAGCCTGAGCATCCAGCACTCAGTGAAGGCCTGCAGAGTCACAGCTGACGCGATGCCTCACTTTTCACAGCCTTTGAGAGAGTCCTTTGTATAAATCCCTCACCTATGCAGAGTGTATCTGTTCCCCAAGTATGAAGTGTGATTGTATGTGTGACAAACAGTTCCTCAGGCACACGGCCTTTCCACGGCGACCAGACGCTCCCCGACATACCAGCACGCAGCTCCCCGGCTCCAAGCTCCAGAGGGAGTTCTCTGTGTTGATCTTATGCATGAGCTCTCCCTCCATAAGCACTCGCTCTGTGGGCCCCTCCCGCACAGCCAGGCGGATGCTGCTCGCCTGCAGACTCACCGACACCTGCCAAGGTGCCCACACAGCCATTACATAGCATGTGCTTTATCACCTCGACGCCACTGCCTTCTGGTCCTCTCCGGACTCTCTTCCAATATTCTTACATTATCTGAGCTACAATGCAAGTAATGCTGACTGTTTCCTAATTTATGCAGTATTAGCAAATATGGTAAGATTTGCACTGCATTTGTTTGGGTTTCACGTGAAAATCCAAAAGCATCGGAGGAGCTCAAGACAGCCAAATTTTCAGAACAAGGCCTTTGAGCCAGTGATTGCTGGCCACCCTACATCTAAATCAATAGGGCTCAGATTTATTCCAGCAGTTTGTCCTGAGAATCTGCGGCTTTAGCTTGCATCGCTGTGTAATACCACACACAGATCAGAGCATGGCCCCCTCATGTGCGAAAACACACACGGACAGACTGCAGCACTGATTCAACCATCTATGCACAATTCATGTGGCTCAGAGGACTACAAAGTCAGCACTACAGTTTGTAGTAACTAATCATTTCACTGACAATTTACAAGAAACTGATAAAGTAAACTAGTCTTGAATTTTCACCTAAATACAAAAAAAATGACAAGAACAGCACAGCTGAACCCCAAACAAATCAGTGATTCCTTCAGCAAATGCCAGAGTTAAAACTACATCAATTATTCCGGAAAGACATGCAGAGGAAGGGAGTGGTGGACGCACCTGTTTGCCCCTGGCGATGCTGGCGGGCACACGCACACGCACTTCCACATCCGAGTAATCCTGAGACCAGCTGTAGTTGTCCCTGATAGCTCCATTATAACTGTCTGGGTTTGCCTGGAACTGTGTCTGCCCTCTGGAGGTACAACAACAACAATGGCTAAGCAATACACCTTTGCAAGCTTTTCATCACTAAACGGAGATTAACAGATGGCCGCTAGCCAGGTACAGCGGTAGCTAGCAAGGAACCCTGCTGTTGTACTATACAGCAATTTATTGAATTGCTCCAGTTAAACATCAGTTTCTATGAAGAGGTAAAACCTTGGATAAAAGCAAGGAAAACAGAAGTTTTTCTTCCAATTCATGATTCCCTTGCCTTACAAAACATCCTGCACACAGCACCCAAGGTAACAGCATGGCTCAAGCTGTTCCTAAGTGCCCACACAGACACAGAGAGACACTCACGACGCTGCATCAGCGGTATCTGAGCCCCCCTCCACCTGACCAGCTTCTGGAGGCTGGGCAGCCTCACTGCAAGCTGGCTTTGGCTCAGAAGGTGGGGCCTTCTCCACTGCGGGGCTCGCAGACTCCACTGCGGGGCTCGCAGACTCCACTGCTGTGCTCGCAGACTCCACTGCTGTGCTCGCAGACTCCACCACTGGCGCCAAATCTTCTTGTCCCAGTGCACCTGCTTCCTGCTGCTCAGACTGTACCACCACCTCCTGCACTGCAGGGGGCGCCGTCCTCATCTCCTTCTCCTGTGTGAGTCTCTCTCTATCCTGTGCTGCTATACGCTCAAACATCCTGAATGTCTGGAGTAACAAAAATGTAAGCATTTATCAATTCAGGTTTATGCAATAAAAAAGTTTGATAAATCACTAATCGCACAAGCCAACTTCATCCGATTATTTCTTAAATTACTGATGCAAATGGTTAGTAGTACGGTCATCCGATTTTAATTCAACAAATGGCCTTTGCATCACCATTTTTGATATTGAATATAGCCCAGAAATGTTTACTTAAAAAAAATCCCTTTGATATATAGGAACATTTCTACACCATTCAGAGTGTTCAGCTACATCACTAAGCGACAGCTCTCATAAAAGCTCAGAAAGAGAACCTTTTCATGGTATGGTCAAAGATAAACAACATTTCTGACGTCTGGAAGATATGTGTAATTCAAATGCCAAATTTCAAAAATGATGATGCAAAGACGTTTTTGGAAATTTCTGAATTAAAATGGAATGACCCTGTATAAATTTGCAACTCACAGATATGCATTAATAAAAATGGATTTTTCCCAAATGTATAGTCTCTTAATTAGTTTCTAAAAATATCAAAATATCTGATCATTACTCCCCAGCCTTGTTATTGAACTTTTGTTCAGTTATGCGCACAAAACTGTTTAACAAACTCCTTTAACAACTTTCAACTAGTCCATAAGTATAGCAAACAAATTATCATAAAATGTAATTATCACATGATCTTACAACTTCAAAAGCTTTACAAACTTGAAGAATGGCTTTTAACACTGTTCGAAATAATGCTTAGTAAATTAACCATCTATGCTTCATTAATAGGTATAACATTAACTGTAACCTATTTTGATTTTGGCAATATTCATTCTAAAAACCCTATTACGAAAATGTTTTTTTAATACGTTTTTACAGTTTGTGTGGTGTTTAGTGTAGCGTCATTGTGATCGTAATAGTTTAAAATGAACAGTTCAAAATTGTTCGATTTGGATCAATTTTTATAAAACCAAAGCGCCAACAAAAAGTACAAAAGTTCACAGTATCTGTAATATAGTTAAATGCTCGGACGTGTCTACGTAGATGCGTTAGTCACGCAAAGGGCGACAAAACCAGCAATACCCACCGTAATCAAGCAGCTGTGATCTCCAAGGCTAATACAAAACGTGTTTACTAAACCCCACAGCACTTTACTTTTAGAACACATCCTTTTCCGAATGTCACAGTAGCTTCTCATATTGACAACTACATGCTATTACAAAAATACATTGTACTTAACGTAGCTTACATTCACTTTTTAACCAATAATAATGCTGTATAGTATAATACACCAGAAAGGGCGAACTAAGCTAACTGATCTTTTTACCTTAAGAACCATCTTCTCCGCTACTCCAGGGGGGAAACCCATGCGGTCGTTGGGGCCGGAAAGCAGGCGATAGAAGTCGGTTTTTCGGTACAGAAAACCGAAATAAACCTGAAGAAAATTCTGGATGTTTCCAACGTGCTGTAGTATGCCAAGCAGAGCGTTGTCATACAGCTCGGTCATTTCCATTGGGGACGACATTACAATTGTGCCCAGGTCACAATAAAGAGAAAAGTAAAAAAACGAGCAGCTTTTCTCACCTTTACGTGTATGTAACTAACGAAGTTAGTGAATGTATTGCTGATTACTGGTAAGACACAAACGTCAGACAAACAAGGTCGCAAAACTACAAAAAAGCCGTTGTTGTTAAAGATTCTCGAGACTTCCGCCGTGCTCTCTGTACACCCCTTTTTATGGTCCGGGTGACAGCTAACATCCCACAGCGCATGAGTTCCGGATGTACGTTTGAGTAGAAGGACAGCGATGATAAGCGGTATCATAAGCAATGGGAAATCATTTAAGCTCCTCCAGGCAGTGCGTCTCTCATAAAAGCTGCAGGTGATTTCAGTGTTTGGATATTTCATCTCTGGTGTCATGTTAAAGCAGTTAATATCCTTACAGTAGGCCTACTAAAACAAATCATTATGTAAGCCTGTTCTTAGAAATGTAATTCAATATTTCAAGTCAATATCCTGCACATATTAACCATTTCATCGATTTTAAACAAAATTATAAAGTATAAAGAACCCATTGGCATATTAACCAGATTAATGATGTAGCAAGTCATGAAAGGTAATGGTTAACAGGGCTGTTCGTCCTTTGCTATGTTTGGTGTCATTTACCTTAATAATAAAATTAATAATCATTTTGACTTCTGTATGTTTTTTGGATACCTGTATGCTCCTTAGGGCAGTAATAATCGAGAGTGTTACAGAAAGCAGGAGGTAAGGCAGACCATTTACCCTCTACACATTTCAGCTGCTATGCTATACAATTTAACCTTGTATACAGTATACATACACGCACCATGTGCATTTGAGGGAAAAGGGCAACATGAAACTGAAAGGTAGGTTACTGTAGGTGTTGTCTTTTGTTCTATTTCATACATGCCTGGGTGCGATTTACTGAAAAGGACGTCAAGAGTAGGACTGCGCCATCGTTTTATGTTTCTGAGCTTTTGATCCCAGTGCCCGCAGACAAATATTCTTGGACACAACTGTAACAAGACCGTGTGACTTTTTTTTTTTTTTTTGGGGGGGGGGGGAGGCACTAGGATTACTTGGAGATTGTTTACATCATAAAATAAGAATGACCTGAATGTTTTCTGAGTATGAAAAAAAACCCAAAGTAAACACTCATTCATTACCCTTTTATTGATTGTTTCATAATGCAGTAGTAGTCATATTGTGCAAAAAGACATAAAACTTTACTTTAGTGCAAATGACCAAAGAATCAATGTAAGGCACTTCCACTATTTATGACCATCTCCCCTATGGCTTAGGGCAGTTTTTGCCAACCTGGTCCTTGGGGGCCTACAGACGGTCCATGTTTTTGCATCCTCCCAGTTCCCTGCCAGAATGTCCACATTTTTGCTCCCGGTAGCAAAGACGTGGACTGTCTGTGGGTCCCTCAGGACCACATTGGGAAACATTGGCTTACAGCATTGTGCTTTCCCCCCTTAAGTCCCCCTGCCCCTATTACATCAGGACATTATTAAAAACAAGTCAAAAAATGCAAACCAGGCCATTTGTGTGTCCGTTTTCATTTTTAAAGTCCAGGAATATTTCCAGCAGAAGACAGATTTACTTTAAAAACATAGTTGTTGGTAGCATACACAGAATTACTTCAACGTCTAAAGAGGAGCTCGTCACAGTGGCACAGAAAGTCTAAGTTCACATATTGATGAATAGTGAAACTGAACTTAAACAGTGAAAATCAGTTCAGGAATTGGTGCCGGTTAGAAAATATAGGCACAAAATGCACCAAAACATTTGGTTTCACATTGAGAAGGAAGAAGTCGATCCATTCTTCACTCCCTCTTAAAAGTGCTCAACAATCTGGAAAATAAAACACAACGAATGCAGATTTTAGCCTAGTTTTGACTGACAGCAAAGAGTCACTGCTACTCTGCTTTGGACTGCCTTAATTAAGGAAAAAGCATTTCTGCCATGCTTTCGAGTGGACTGTATTGTACCTTAGAACAGCCGTGGTCCCGCCCACCCTCCAGTGATTGGCTAGTACTTGTTGTCCCTGCAGGAGCTTCCCACACATGATTGGAGCCTGATCAGCCTTTGGTTCATGGTCTGCAGGAGGGTGGGGTCAACCTTCTTCACAATGTTCTCCAGTTGGTGAGGGTCAGCTGTCAGGTTGTAAACTTCAACAAAGGACTAAAGTGGAGAAAGAAGTTTACAGTCAAAAATATCACCTGTAACATTCATACTTCTCTATGTATCTCCACTGAGTGCAACAGAAAGTACTCAATGGGGGAAACTGATGATGTCATTTTTACCCCAAACATGCTGAAGTTTTAGAAATATCTGTTTTTATTAATATTTAAATCGATTTTGGCCTCTATATATCCTGGCTGCACATATGCTGAATTGTTAATAATCTTTGTAGCTATATTAATACATAACCAGGTCTATTATTGAAAGGAATGATTCAAGGGTTAAGAATGATCAATGAATGTTTGAAATAATGGCCCCAGTATTACCTAAAATGAACAAAGACAAAATATACTTTACATTGCAGTTGTTCATTTATGAAGGTTATTGGTTAAATAATTACATTTTACGCATGGTCAATCACCAGCTTGACCAAAATTAAGAACTTAAACACAGAGGAACAGGATAGAAACAAACAGTCTAAAGTATCAGCATTTGAACCCACACCCCTGACTCTATGGTGCATAATCTCGTTAAGCAGCCTTTAAGACGACAGCTGTGGACTTTGGTACCTCGCTGTCTGCAAACTCGCAGTACTGCATGTTGTATCCGGTCAGCGTGCGAACACAGGCGTACGTGTTGTTGAAGGCATCTTCACACACGCAGTCAGGGAAGCATTGCTGGGGGCACACGGGGCATGCGTGTTAGCCATTGGCGTGTTACCCATTGGCGTGTTACCCATTGGCGTGTTACCCATTGGCGTGTTACCCATTGGCGTGTTACCCATTGGCGTGTTACCCATGGCGTGGCATTTTTAATTATTAAATCCGGCCAGCAGACGGATCTTTCATTTTCACAGAATAAAAACCACGTAGCGTTATTCGGCTAATAAGCGCTGTCAAGGTTCACTACCTGCACTGGCTTTTTGAATGACCCTAAGATGCTCTTAAGATCTAAACAAGACATCCAATAGGATGGTGAATTATTTATAAAAATGGAGGGAAAACTATAGCGATTTCCAGCACATACAACATAGGTTAAGAGAGAAATGAGTTTCGGGAAATCTGTACGACGTTTCACAAAAGAAATCTCTCTTTGCAGATCCTGCACCCACTAATATCTTTACTCAAGGGCAAAGATCCTAAAAATGTATGCGCCCATTTGCAGAAATCAGGTTGCCTTGGTAACGCTAAGTGACATCGGCGATAAGGAGGAGCAGGCTGCTCCCTGCATGCCGGATCCTGACGGAATGAGCCGGAAGCTGCGAGCTGTACTCACAGACAGGCCCGAGCCCAGCTTTGGACAGTCTGGATCCGGGCCAGTATGCCCCTCCCCGATGTACTCCACCAGGAAGTAGGGCCGCGACGTGCCATTCCGGAGAGAGGGGGCCTGGGGTGGGGGGATGGGGGTCGGGAAGCATGAAGAAGACATGTCAGGTTTGGGGGAGGCTGCCATCAATGCACATTGTCTGCGCAGGCGACTCACCATCTGTGGCAGGAAACTCTGACCGTCCATGTTCACCTGGGACAGGTTGACTCCTGCGATGTCCAGGAATGTGGGACCCAAGTCGATGTTCAAAACCGGGGCCTGAGAGACACAGAAATAAACACTGAAACACAATAGCTTCAAGTTCACCTCAGCTAAGGAGTCGCAATATGTACAACATGCAGGAATGAACGTGAAAAATGGCTCAACATCAACTCTCCCCAACCATGAAACCAGGCCGTGACAACGGCCTCTCGCCTGATCACACAGCAATGAACGAACACGGAACTTCAGAAATCAGAGGCACCTTAAATACCTACAAATACAGACAAATCACTCCCAGTTACATTGTCCACAACATAAATGGATTCTGTGAGAGGATCTGGATGTTTTATAAACTGCATTTTTTTAAATCAAGGAGCACAAGACTTTGAAATAGACATTATTCTAAAACTAAATGTAAAAATGTCACATTAAAAGTGGGAGACCCGGGGCGGGCGGGCGCGCGGGCAGGGAGACCCGGGGCGGGCGCGCGGGCAGGGAGACCCGGGGCGGGCGCGCGG